CTCATCCCCTGTGCGTCCCTTGCCCTCATTAAAAAAAAAAAAAAAAGAAAAAAAAGAAAAGAAATCTTAAGAGAACACTAATGAGAAGAAAAAAAAAAAAGACAAAACATGCTGGCAACATGCACAGCTCCTGCTCTGGTACAGTTCAAGATGGCAGATCTTGTCTTCCCTATTATTAACAATCTCTGGTGCCCACTCTCTTAACAGTCATTCTCTTTTTAGCAGAACTCATTAAGACTCTGCTTACTTCTATGAAAAAAAATTAAATAAGAAACAATTAGCTATTAAAACACACACATACACACACAAGTCGTTTATCTCAAAAATAAAAGATGAAAGGATTTATCCCCCATGGAAAAGTAGCTGCCAACAAAACTTCCTCTTTCTATAGAGCAACAGAAGTTTTTCTTTCATCTGGAATGTCACAAAAATAGTCAAAGCCATTGAAGGCCATTATCCTAACCTATACCCCAATCTTCAAGGCTCTTTAACTGGAGACTTCTAGATGAAGAGACTAATGAACTCTAATTAGCAAAGTAACCATCGAATTTAGTGGTAACACAATGCAATGGAATAGCCTGTTTATGCAGACAAGATCTTTAATGACATTAAAGGTTTAATGCAGTCATAAATTTTAATACAAAATTTTAAACACAAGTGAGTTAATCACTCTCAAAAGTAAATTTACTTTGCTGGGTAAGAAGTACCCTAATTCATTAGCATTCTCTTACATTCATAAATTCTACTTTGTCATATCTAATTGTTCATAGAATTGGCACTGGCTTTAGCTATAAAAATCAATCAAACTGATAAATATTCATCAAGTGACTGCTCTAAACAGACTGATGGTGTTTGTCTTGGTTCTATTACAAGGGGAGTGAGAGCTTAAGCAAACCACAGCTTCACTGGATGTCAAATCAGAAAATGAGATGTTGTATTAAATGATGACTAAAGTTTCATTCTTGTTCTAAATGTACTTCTATAATTTTAAGTGTTTTGAAAAGTTCCAGGTACTGAAGAGCATGCCAGAGTAGTGTAATGTGCAATTCTTCCACTCATGTGCACTGAAAATCCAAATTAAATTGTAAACACACCAGCTCAGAAAAGGAGGCGTTAAGACACTGTCAGCCATCACCTTATTAGGGCTCAGCTCCAGGTAGCTAGAGTCCCCAGGATGAGCAGTTGCTGCGAAAAAAAGGATTGAAGCAGGAATTATAAATAAAGTATTTGTAGGCGCTAGGGAAAGGGCATAAATAAATGGGAAGATCTAGGTGAAAATTATGGGAAAAAATGGAGTGCTTGCTTCAGCTAATTGTTGCCTTTCAAGAATGTAGGCTCTCGGTTATCTCATCTTCAGATTTTTCAAAAGATTGCCAAAAATCTTCTGATTTTAAAATATGGAATCAGAACATCTTAAAGCCAAATAAACTTCTACCATAGACACACACAGATTTGAGATCTCTGAGGAGGGGCACGCATTACCAAAAAAATTAAATGAATGGGCAAGGGAGGCATGGCAAATAGAGGAGGGATGCAAAGAAAGAGGGTGTAGGGGGCTTTACTGACATGTGAAGTTGGCTCTGTTGAGGTAATTCAGAAGAGCAAGCAAACTTGGAGGTAGAAAGAGGTTAAAACAGTGGTTCCAAAGCTTTTGGGGGGTCATGAGTATCATGGGATTCTGATAACTGTTTTAGAAGTTTTCTCTGAAAAAATAAACTTATATGTAGTAGGCGAAATAATGCTCCCCAAAGATGTCCATCCATGTCCTCATTCCTTGCCCCCTCCCCATGTTACCTGACATGACAAAAGGATTTCTGCAGATGTAATTAAGTTAAGGGCCTTGAGATGGGAAGATTGTATACATTATCTGAGTCGGTCTAATCTCATGAATCCTTAAAATTAGACAATCTTTCCCAGCCCTGGTCAGAGGGAGATGTATGAATGAATGCTCAGGGAGATACAATGTTGCGAGCTTTAAAAAGGGAGAATCCATGAGCCAAGGAATGTAGGCAGTTTTTAGAAACAAAAAAGGCTAGAAAATGGATCTATTCTCCCCTAGAGCCTCCAGAAAGGCAGGCAGGCCTCTGCTGACACTGATTTTTTAGCCCAGTGAGACCCATGTTGGATGTCTATCTTAGAGAACTATAAGATTATATAGTTATGTTGTTTTATGCCACAGGTTTATGCTCATTTGTTATAGTAGCCTCTGTAAACCAATATAGTATATACACACTCAAACTTAGGCAAAAACATTCATAGTCTTCCCTGAAGCTTATCCACACACACAGATAAAGGCTCCTTGTTCTAGAAAGAGCTGAAGATAGAACATACTCTGAGAAATGAAGGTATGAAGTTATTTTTCCTTGGCATGCATGGAAAGATCAATGCCCACCCCATTACATAATCAGTTCCAAAATATCACTTCTACAAGGATGCATACATTCTCTGAAGACTACCCCTTTAAATCTCACTTAAATGACACATGATATTTGTCACTCGACTGCTCCTTGCTGCAGAAAGATGAGTCTTCCCTTTTTCAAATTGTTCATTCTTCTAACAACATTCTCTCCCCAGCTCCAAGAAGACGGCATTTTACACCTGCCGAGATTTAGCCTGGCTTCTCTCCTCACTTTGAGCCAGACCTAGATCTGGCGTGTCCTGTTACAGTATCATGTCTCTATCAAGATCCTATTGGACATGATATGCCTGAACCTGGCCACGTACTGACATAAAACGGAAGAGTAAGGTTATCAAGAATGTGAGCTACCTGACTCAAAGCTGTTTTTAGCCTGATATCTCATTTCACCGACTCATCCAATTTCATAATCCCTATAATATTTTAAGATGTTTTTTAAAGTTCTATTAAAATGTCCCTGGATGACACCACCATGGTTATGACAAATAACTGTAGTTTAAAGATTACCAGACCAGTCTAAACACTAAATCTAATAGTACCAGACATAACTGGCCTAACATGCCTCCTGATCTGCAACTTAACATCAGATCCTTGATTGCCAACATTGTTGCATAGAATATTCTGGAATGCTGCTAAACTGTGAAAGCACAGCATGGAGGCTAGAAGAGGAAAAGAAGACAACGAGGTATTTGATGTCCTACAGAGGTTTACTTAGGGGTAGAGGAAGAGAGACCAGATCTGTTTTTGCAAGAAGTAGCCAACCTATTGGAAAGACAAGACAAGCCTGAGTTAATAAGGAAGGCTGCCCACTAGCCTTATATCTGGTTCCTCTTCCTAACTTGTGGAAGAGACTTAGGAACCTCCTAAAATCTGACACAAACCGTCTTGTGTATGTGTATGTGCACCTCAGGAAAGTTTCCATACATCTCTGAGAATCAGAATAAAACTGTAACTCTGCCACCCCAAATGTAAGAGTTGCTCTCCCATGTGTTACCTTTTCAGGGAGATGCTAATTTAATATTCTTAGTCTTACTAGTCATATGTGAACGATTCCCACTACATAATCCTATTAAATTTCTGACTGGCCCTCTGATAACAGTAATATCACCATTTACCTTCCCCACTGTAAATGGGATATAAAGTGGTTTTAAGTTTACCAAACATCAAGTATCTTCGAGAAGGTTAATTATTGATACCATTTTTCCCCATTGGCCTCTGTGGAATATTCACCCCAAAGGGCCACTGTGCATTCCACACACAAATAAGAATGATTTACTTTCATTTTGTTTTGCTTTTTTATTTTTATTTTTTTACTCTTTTGAAATATGCATGGGAATATAGCTGGCCTCATTCATGCTGAGACAGGCAGTCACCAGTCTGGTGGGGGGAGACAGGGTCACTGACTGTTCTAGTCTGCCTAAAGCAGCTTTATTGAAATAAAGTCTCAAATAGGAGGGAGAATGTCCTGATCAGCAGAGAAATGACAAGGTTGAGTCTTACCTGACCTGAGGTCAAGTAAGAACAAACAAATAAGAGATGGCAACTTGTGAGAAGGGTGGTAAGAGGTACCCATGAATCCAACTGGATAATGAATCACCCTACTTTTGGGGTCCCATTAACCTCTTGGGGCTCTATGGTTCTAAATTTAGTATATTGGATATTTTAAAGCACAATTACGTAGCACAATCTTCTCTATAGTTGTTGATTCATTTAGACTCTGCTACCTTAGAAAAAACTTTCTAAAGATCATTCTCAGAAGTACACTGAGTCAGGCCTATGATTACACTGTATACAAGATCCCACAAAGACAGCTGACATAACTAGCAATTGAATTCTTTCTGCTGTTTACTTCCAGAAAAGACTTTCCGTAGACAGCTGCAACACCAGGCTCCCACCAGAATGCCCTGCCAACCTTGCTGCAGACAGTTTCTACCCATGTCCTTGCCCTTGACTCACGGCTGTCTCCAGCAGGTCTAGCAGACCAGAGAGGCCAGCCTGGGGCTACTTCAGGGCCTAAAGACACCACTTGGATCAGTACAGAAATCACATCTGCTATGTCATAATCAGACATTTATAGGTTCAAATTCTGGCTCAGCCTTTTTCACTTGTACCACAGCAGGCAAATGCCTTAATATCTCTTGGTCTCAGGCTCCTCCTCCATAAAATGGGGCTATGAGTATCCACTTTATAAGGAAGCGGTGAGGGCTGTATGAGATAGCATGTGAAAATCAATTGCCTTGACCTCTACAGTGTCGTCACTATCATTATCACAGAGGAAAACCTAATCTTGTCTCTGGCAGAGAATAAAACAGAACAAAATGAAATCAGCATTTCTCCAAAGGCAGGACTGTCGCCACTCCTCTCTGAGCCTTAAGGCTGATTATCTTCAAACTGAAGACAGAGAAAATAGGTTATTTACATTTCTCTTAAACTCAGACTCAACAATACTCCTTCTAGGCCCCTTTAAGCAGCTTCTCAGACAATAAGAAATGCCACAAAGTCAGAAAGCCTTGGCTCTTGTGTGGGAGGAGCAAGCACAAGGAAACCTCAGGCACAGCACGACTTCTGACACCAAAGGGCCCACCTTGGTTGAAGCCGCACT